GCGATACCAATATAGCCGAGGATCTCGGTATTCTTGATAATACGAAAAACCGCTTCAACTACCCTGACAGTCGGCATGGATAAACTTAACTTCACACCAATCTCGTTTTTCGCTCCCGAAAACAACTTTGCAGCTATTATTATTACTATTATTTATTAATTTATCACTATTGTTACTCATTATCTGTTGTTTATTATTATCACTGTTATTATTATTATTAATTATTGTTATTAATAATAATTATTATTATTATTGTTACTATTATTATTACCATCATCGTCATTATTATTATCATTATTATTGTTGTCATTATTATCATTATCATTATTATTATAGTGATAAAACAAGAGAGCTATTTTTTTTAAAAGAAAAGAGAAAATATAAATTATTTAACGACAAAAACACCGCTCGTCTTAGTCCAAATCTGTACTGACGAGCAAATTAGTAAAACAATAGAAATCCCATATTACTGTTGTTGTTGTTGTTATCATCATCACTATTATTTTTATCTGCATTGTTCTGCTCACCAACACTGTTACTATCATTATTATCAGTAAGCTCATCACTGCTGCTACTACTACCACTACTGCTATTATTTGTAATAATATCGTCATCGCTATCATTACCCAAGGAGCCCAAGTCTGTAATAAGCTTTCTTTCAAGCAATCCTTGAAAGATGAGTTCGTCGAACAGTTAATTCGGCTGTTGGTAGGTGCTTCCATTTTAGTTACTTCCAAGTGTCTCTGTCTCTCGCGCAGTGTGAGTTATATGAAAGGGATTTTGTTAATGCGCTTTTACAGTATTTTTGAAAATTTTGCTGCAAGACGATATGTCGGAGGGCTGGTGATGTGGCCGGTTGTGTCGAAAGCGCGTTATTCAGCTTGATAAGAATATAATCAAATTAGCACATAAAAAAAGAAATAGCAAGACGTTTGTTGAATGTGGTCAGATGCAAGACAGGGAGTGGTCAGAATGTGGTCAGCTGCAGGCCGCCGAGAATTTACCTCAAATAATTGGTGAAGATCAGGGAAAATGAATGAAACGGATACGTAAAAGCAATTCTGCCATGAGACTGGTGCATATTAGTAAGAGGAGGTTGAGGACCTCGTACTGAAGATCCGGGCTATTTTGTGACGGTGCATCCAGCAATAATAAGTTTTTGTTTGCGGCAGCTCAATTAAACTGCGAAATTATTGCTCCTTCGGGCATTAATTTGTTAGGCTGCGATCCTTCCCTCCCTCAGACCGCTTTCCCTCA